GATGCCTAGCCTAGAGGAGCCAGAAAAAGAGGCAGTCTCTAGTGAGACTTGTGAAACTGATAAAAAGGTGGAAGAAAGCAATTCCGACACAAGGCAGCTGTGCACTCCAGAAGAAAGGCGGCATAGTCAGAGAGAGAGACTTAATCAAATCCTGCTAAACCTCTTAGAGAAAATCCCAGGGAAAAATGGTGAGATTTTATGCTATGATTACACAATAGCATTTATTCTACAGATTTGTTTCCAGTTTGCTGCAGACAGTGTTGATAAAATAAATGTTTTTGTCTGAACTTATTGCTAGTGGACATTATTAATAGTTAATTTTCTTTGCAGTGATGTTTTCTTTTACAACAGTAGTAATTTCCACTCAATCCAAATTAAATTTCTCACAACTGGCACTATGTTTTGTATAATATTTTTAGTAACCACAAAAACTTTCTGAAGACAAATTCCTCACCATCATTCTGTGTCTACAACTGAGAAACTTAAGACATGCAAAGGAGGACTGAAGGGAATTTGGAGAATCTCTTGACCTTTAATGAACTTTCCATTGGGTTCTAAGTAACTTCTGTAGGTATTGTCTAAGCTGTAAAATAAGGGTGCAGTGGTTGCACTGGATAAGTATGTCTCTTTTTTTAATTTAAAGCCTAGGATGAGCTCTGTCCAGTCTCTGTCGTGTTCTCAGAGTTAATGCAAAATGATCGTGGACTCGTAGAATAATTTAGGTTGGAAGGATATTTGGAGGTCATCTGGTCCAAACATGACCCAAAGCAGTGCTAGCTTCGAACGCAAATCAGGTTGCTCAGCACCTTGTCCAGTGAAGTTTTAAATATCACTGTGGATGGAAACATCCTTGAAAGAGCTGCGAATAGGGAAATAGGAAAACTGTTACTCGTATCACCATCTTTTACCAAAAGCCTGTGGTCTGTTGCAGCTATTGATGTCACGTACTTACTGGAGGAAGGATCAGGAAGAAAACTGAGGCGGCGCACGCTCACCATCCCGGAGAGCAGCTTCAGGAAGTGATGCCACGAGAGGAAACTGTGGTCTGGAGTCTCCTACAAGGTCTGCTGAGGACTGAGGGCAGGAGCCCAACTTCCTCTGCACCAGCAAAGGAAAAGAGGGCAGCAGAAAACTGACAAATATACAAACAGTTAGCACTTAGATGTCTGGGTTGGCAGGTTGCCCTGCCCTGCTCTGCAGTGCTCTTATGGTGTGTGTGTTGTTGGGCGTGCCTTGTATTGATGTTAGGTACTGAGAAAAACCTCGTGGTTATTGTCTAGGATGGTCAAATTTAATTTATTTTTGCTTGATATTCCCACTCAGAGGAAAAAAAAAAAAAAAAAATGAAAAATTTGGGGAGGTAGGAAGGATAAGGACTGACTTACTCTGATGAGAATATTCCCCATGTTCACCAATTAACCTGTGATTGTACAAGATACTGTTGGCAGCGCCATGGCCCATGCCAGTGAATGAAATCCAGATGGGAGGGTGAAGGCCCAGTGGCTTAAAATGAAAGGCTGCCCTAAAGTTGTGGCCTCCAATTTGCACAAGTTCCAAGAAGAGAGAAACGTACCCAAACTTGCGAACGGTTCACCATGGAACGGCCAGTGCACACATGTACCTTTGGTCTGTGACAAAGGAGAAACTTCCAGAGTCACCTTGGAGCAAAGCAGGAGTTGGCTGGTTGAGGCACTTGTTCTGCGTCGGGGAGGGAGCGGGGTGTGATTTTTTTCACTTTTTTCTGCAGAGAAATTTTATAAAGCAAGTCAAATCCTGACAACACCATTGCTGTTGGTTTTTTTGATAAGCTGTGGTTCTCGTGTGTCTAGTGTGTTGTGCAAATTAAAATCTGTTAAAAGAAAAAGAAAAAGGAAAAAAAAAAAAAAAAAGGAAACTTCACTACATGAACCGTCAAGCAGTATTCAGAGCGAGTATTTGTTGTGAACTGTAGAATATATCAACTGCTAACACTATTCTTGTGTTCTGGTTGTACAGCTTAAAAATGTCCGTCTCTTAAATTAAGAGACAGTGTATCTCGCGCCGCCCTCTCTCTCTGCCCTGACAAAAGTATTACTCCTGAAAGCAGCAGCCGGGGCACGGATTTCTCCCTGCATGGGATTGCGATTGCCGTCGCGCAGCACGACGCAGTGCGGCCGCGGGGCTCCCTGCCCTGCCCGCCGCGCAGCGCCGCGGGCCGTCAGCCAGGCTGTGGCGAAGGGAGGGGGTGCTCGGCATACGCTGCCCCTTGAAAATGGCTTTGCTTTTTTGTCTTTCAGACGTACATATGCATATACAGTCCTGTTTTAGATGTTCTTATAAGAAAACCAGTTTTTAATGTGCCAAGTTGTATATATCTGCTGCGTGGATGTAAAGCAATACAGTAGTTACATGTTCCTTTTTAATGGACCAAGCTTGTCCTAATGTACATTCTTGTTATTATTATAATTATTTTACTCTTAGTGGAACATGACTCATTCCATTAACTTTTATGTGTTGATTTAAAAAGAAAAAAAAAAAAAAGAAAGGAAAAAACCCTTTGAGAAAAAATATTTTATTAAAAAAAAAAAAGAAATAAGAAAATAGTTTGGAATATTTTCTTACTGTAGAGAAGCACTGTACAGTACCAGGAACCCTGAGTATAAAATACTCGTGCGTGTAGTAGGAATATCGCATGTCCAAAATCTTGAGTTGTCTCATTTAGTTTAAAACAGAAATCATTGTCTCAAATGGTGTTAAACACTAAAAAGTTTTTAAAAAATAAAGTGCGTACAGAAGCGAGACACTAGCTCTGTCATTTTATCTTTCTTTTGTTGAAAGACTAAACAAAATGTTTTTTAGACAATCAAATGTTAGGTAAGTGCAAAGAATTGTTTTTCTTACTGGTGTAGAAATTAATGACTTTTTTTATTTTTCGGTTATTTTATAATAATGAGAAGACCAGTGTGTCACCAGGATCGCTGTTTTAAGACCAGGAAGCACTACATTATTGCAAATAGATATGAACTCTTAGTCTGCATGGGTGTAGGCTGTGTGATTGCTGAAAATAAATGCTGCTAATATATTTCCTTTTTACAAAGCATATCTAAATAGATCATTGTTTTGATGTTAATCTTTGTAAATTATGTATTACCAATTTTAACATTGGATGTAATTGCATAAAAAGCCTGCATCTCAATCCTGAGAGAGTCTAGTATTAAATGGAAAATCTTTTCCTATCGATGACTTGTGGGGTTTTCTTTGACATGTCTTCAATTTTCTTTTCTTGCCTCTTTGTCTCAATCACTCCTGTCACGTTCTGACCCTTACGGCCGCTTTTCCGGGTCTTGCTGCCCCGTCTCTTTCAAATTTCCAATTGCGTGATGGCTCTTTGCAAGGATTTCATCTGATGCTGATGGTTCTCCGGGTCAGACCTTGGCAGGAGGGATGATGCCAGCGTGCGTACAGCGACAGGAGCATCGGCGCGGTTGGGTAGTCGCAGGGTGCGCAGCCGTGATCAGACATAATGGCAGGTGGAGGACATGAACCGTTAAATCCACAAATTTAACGCCTGTTCCCACACTATAAACCCCCGGTACCTGGCGCTGTGCCCCCCCCCGTGCCTGCGCAGACAGCAGAGGCGGTTCTGTCGCCGTCACTGCCGCCTCTCTCGGAGGCAGCACACTTACCCCCGCCAGAATTCGCACTGAGTTACGTCGCGCAAGTGACACTGTCCCCACCGTTACCCAAAAGCCGAGCTGTGGGAGCTGCTGGCCTGAGCACCTACCCTCACCCTGCCCACGGCAGGAACAGAGAACCTGGGTGTCCCTTCACCCTGTCCCAAGGCTGCATCAACCTCGCCTCCCCGCTGATGGGCTGGCCCTGACGGGATACAGGCCTTACAAAGCTTTTAGGGCTTTAACTTCCTCCAGTTCAAAAGTGGTTCCTGGGAATAAATTTGGTAACTGTTTGCATTAGTCACTCGGGAATGGAATAGCTTCTTGATGACCCCGCCCTTTAATTTAACTTGATTCTTCCTTTTACCTCCTAGCCTGAAGCTCTATGGTCATTAAAATGCTCTTGACCCATACCCTTGTCTTCCTTTTAAACTAAAGATACCACCCCAAGAATTGCAGTGGGGTTGTTTTTATTTAAAAAAAAAGCTTTCAAGTACCTGGAGTCATCTGCTGACTTGACCCCATTTCAAAGTCCAGAAGCAGCTGCGGCATTCACGCAAACCTACTTAAGGCAAACTAAATAACACTCCAATTAAGATACGATGGCCCTTGTCTGAAGAGTAAAAATTCCAGCGAGAGAAATGAAAATGAGCACAGACTGAAAAGAGTGCTGCTTTAGCCTCGGAGCAGAACACAACCTGTTGAAGCACGGTCTCCTTTGCCACTGAAACGGTGAAAGAAGGATGAAACGTGGTTCTGGGGCTGCAAGCAAGAACACTGGCCCAACTGGTGCCCCTACACCAAGCTGCCGTTGACTCGCGGCCTTTTGCTGGATGCCCCCCAGTACAGCCATGTCTCTCTCTTACTGGGGAGCCCAGTACAAAACGCAAAGAGTGTGGCATGAAATCACAAGCAATGAGGAAAAAAACTTGAAAAAAAAAAAAAATTACAAGCCCTCCATCCTGTGACAGGATTAATTAAAATAACTAATCAACAAACTAACCAATGCATACCTTTACCAGCGCCGTGCAGCTTCCATCTTGGCTCCCCCCTGGCCGGTGGTGTACAGTGTGCACTTTTCCAGGGACGTGTCTGGCTCTGGCTGGCTGCAGATGCCTCTTCCTACACTGTGTAGGAGACTGGGCCCTTCCCACCAAGGGCTGCTGCCTTACTGGGCTCTGGGGCTGCTACCTGGCAGTGTTCAGGCGAGCACCAGCACAGCCCCAGCACATGCTGGCTTCTCCCACAAGAGCATTTACTCGCCCAGCACCAGCCCAGGCCACCACCCCAGGGACCCATGTGGCCATTTCCAGCCCCCCCCTGCAACCACAAGGATCCATTCACACATGCAGACACGAGTCGCAACCTTTATTTCCAGCTTTTTTTCCGCCCCCCCCCAGGAATAAGCTCATTGGCGCGGTTACAACTATTTACAGAGTGCTGGGACTGCACAGCAGCAGCTGGAGCTGGCCTGGGCCACCAGCCCCAGGGCAGAGCAGGGCAGGTGGAGGTGGTGGCAGGACATGACAGCACAGAGACGACATACAGGACCGAGTATGGCACAGGGACAGAGGCTTTCCCCACCCCCAGCCCTTCCCCAGCACAGGTGTGGGCAGCAGCTGAGGAAACATAAACCAGAGCAGTTCCCAAATGGGAGCCATGGTTTAGTGCCAGCAGGTCGCTGGGGACACGCACAGCGGTGGCTCAGGGGGATGCACCCATGGCAGACAGTAACGTCATGCAAACGAGCAGCAGCAACGGGCACCAGGGCTGGGTCCCCTGCAGAACTGCCAGCCCCGAAGGCGGTGAAGCCCTGGCAGGCGACCATCCTTTCCGGAGGTGGCACCTGCTTCGGCAAGCTCAGCTGCTTCCTCAGGTCTCCTCCGCCTCCTCACAAAACCAGGGATGTGTAACCGACAGGAACTAGGCCAGTGCTGTTTCCATGGCAGCAGCGGATCCAGTCTTCATCCACAGTGGAGAGCAGCTGCAGGATGTCCCCTTTTTGGAAGCTCAGGTGACCATCGGTGGTGCCCCTGTGGTCACACAGCGCCCGAACTGCCCTGCACAACAATCACCATTGGGGATTCGCCTCCCCCTGGGCCCCAGGTACCCCTGAGAGAGGCTCCCCCCGGACTCGGGAGAGGGTTTGATGCTCCAAGTGTGGAGCCAGCGACGCCAGCTGATGCTGGATTTCACTGAGAAGCCACATCACAAAAACATTCTGCCAAGCAGACCCGCGGAGCAGCAGCAGAGCGTGAGCCACTCTTGTGCGGATGTGGTGGGGAGATCACTACGGCTTTTCCAACCTGCCCCAGTTTGGTCAGAGCTGCCACGTGGTTGCTCCAAACAAGCAGCTCTGAATCCAGAAAGCACATGAGAGAAAGAAAAGGCTCAAAATTCCCCCTCCCCAAGATGTCTGCAGAACACAACTGACCACAGCCAGCAGATACACAGGCTCACCCAAAGCTCAGCAGGAGATGCAGGAATCCCAGAGGGCAGGGCCGAGGTACAAGTTAACAACAAGGAGTGGTGCAAGCCTTTCCCTAGAAAAGGCTTGTAGGATATCCAGCCCAGGTCTGGAAACAGCCCCTGTTTCTCCCCACCAGAGAAAAATTTACCACCAGCCCTCCAGCCCCAAACACCGCAGAGCCCGGCCTCACCTGCAGGTCTGCGGTGAAGCTGACGTGTTCCTCTCTGGCTGTTCCTGAGCACGGGTCTTCTCAGATGCCAGCCCCTTCACCACCACAGACAGGACGCGTGCGCTGGGGGACAGCCAGATAGAAGGTCTCCTGTCACAAAGCAAAGGAAGTCACAAGCTCATCTGAGAAGCCTTTTTCCACCCATTCTGCTTAGATTATTCTATTGATCTAGGAGCTGACAAGGGCCCTATCAAGCACCACCAAGCCTCCCTCATGAGCTCCTGCCACTCTAAAGGACCGATGCCATGCAATGGCACCAGCACCTGGGACGTGCACTAATCCCAGGAGCGCAAAACCTGGGTAATGGGCAGTACCAGACACCCCACGAGGCCGGCGAGCCCCATGGTGTGCTCTCCACTCATTGCCTGGGGGAAAAACCCTCAGCACATGCTGCTTCCCCTGCCCTGCCTGCCCAAGCTGGATCTTACCTGGATCTAGCTGAGATGGCGTCAGGACTGGGAGGGAAGCTCCTGGCAGAGGTGCTGGTGGCTCCAAAGAGCCGGCCCAGCCAGTTACCCTTGTCAGGACCAGGAGGACCACCCGCCTCTGGGTCAGAGGATGCTGCCCGATTCCTATCCGCACAAGGCTCTGGGGAAACAGCCAGGAGTTTCTCTCCAGCAGCAGGATCATCTGGCTTGGTGGGTACTCCAGCTCCAGCAGGCAGCATGAGGTCTTCAGGGGAAGAGGTCCCAGAGGTGTCAGCACTGCTGCTGGGCTTTGGACTGGAGAGTTCAGGGATAGCTTTGGTCTGAAGGAGCTGCAGCTCCATGCCTCTAGGCTCATTCACGGATGTTTGGGACCGCACAGCCTGGCTGGGGCTGGAATCCCCTGCAGCCGTTCGCAGCTTTGTCCACCAGACGAAGGGGAACGTTTCCTTGCTAGGAGCAGCATAAATCCTGGAGGCCTGGCTCAGCTGGCCCCACCAGCCGCTGAGGCCAGCCCCGGCATCCCGAGGGTCTGCCTCGGGCCTGTGGGTCTCTGGGGAGCTGTCAGCTCCCAGGAAAGCACGACTGAGCTGGTCACCCCACCGCAGCACATGCTGGAAGGTCTGCTGCAGGGCAGCCCTGACCTGGGGACCAGGGACCAGCCCCCGCGCAGCTCCTTGGGTCTGGGCGCTTGTGCTGCCCTCAGCACCCGCTGCTCGCCCCAGAGTATCGGGGGGGATCTCATCTTCCAGGCTGGCCCCTGCAGCACTGCTCTGGCCCTCCAGAGAAGGCTGCACAGCCCCCCGAGCCTGAGCAGAGTGATGGGCAAGAGACAGGGGTGACTCCAGCCGACGGGACAAGGGTCTTACATCCATGGAGAGATGGTGGTGTTCAAAGAGCAGGTCAAGGTGGAAAGTCAGCACTGAGAGGGGCTGGATGAGCAGCAGCAGTTCATCAGCGAGGTGAGGAAGAGGGCCTTGGCTCAGGGCAAAGAAGGCCGTGGGTGAATACAACACAGAGATTACACCTAGGAGATACAGACAGTGCTGAATAGATGCAAAATGCTCTACCCTTGTCCACACATCCCTCCCAGGACCAGCTGGGCTGCCCTAGCAGGTCAGACAGCCTTCTGCTCGGAGTTGTATGGAAGATGCACCATGGAAAACTATGCCCTTATTCCCTACGGAAATCCCAGCCAAGCATTGTGAGTGGAACAGGTATGGGATTATCACCCTGGCAAGTAGGAAAGGACTTGGATGGGCACTGCGTCCTTACCACGGCTCTCCTGCAGGTGTGAGATCCACAGCTCCAGCTGCTTAATGCTAAACAAGACAAAGGGAACCCATGTTAGAGCTCTTGGGACTCTGTTCCAATCTGCCATCACAGAAAGGACAGCCTGGGCCAGCAGCGCCAGTGCCAATACTCACTTCAAAAGGCCGAGGATAAAGGCATGAAACTTCTGTCTGGTGCTGTTGAGAGGGGCCAGCCCAGCCACATGCCAGCACAGGGAGTGGAGAGAGCGGGTGTTGGGGCCTGTGGAATACACAACACAAAGTCACTGCTCTGGGCGTACATCCTCCCCCAGAGTCTGGGCTGCAAAAGGACTCCAGACACCTTGAGATGACAACATTTCCAAGAGCACGTTTCTCACGCTGACCTGTCTTTACAGAGGCTTCCACCACACTCCAGGGGGAATTCTTCCTCTGGCCTGTGATAATATCCTTCTGAAATGGCTTCAGCCCATCCTCCACCAAGGCATAGAGCGCAGGGCAGAGAGTGTGCAGCAGCAGATAACCCACATCTGGGCTGAGCCGGCTGTCTCCCAGCTGAGCCTGAAGTAGAGAGGCACAAGGAGAGGAGAGCGGGAGGAAGAGCAGCACCTAACCCTGAGCCTGCAAGGAGGGATGGTGGGATCCTCCCCCTGGAGCTCCCAAAGCCTGCATGGCCTGTCCTCACCCCTGCCCACCCCAGAGCCTCAGCTCAGACCCTCACCTTCTGCACCAGGTTCCGTGCAGTGCTGAAGTGGGCGATAACCTTATCCACGGCGGTGCTGATGGCGATCAGCAGGGCTGTTGGACGGCAGAAAGGAAAACGTCAAATGTGGCCCCCAACCCCACTGCGAGGCTGGCTGGGGCTGACTGGCATCGCACCAGCGGGGAACCAGCGCTGGGCACCAGGGCCTGGATGCTGTGGGTAACCGAGCATCCCAGGCTGTTGCCATGGGAACCTGTAGCTCCCAGGGGCTGGGATGAAGGAGACGCCCTATCCAAGGGGGGACAAGGCCAGGATAGAGACATGGCCAGGAGACACCCCCACCCCTCCAAGGTGTTTTTCAAGATGCCGGGGGCAGCCCCATGCCCGCTCCCCGGCTCCACAGCACCATCTGCCGAGATGCCGGCAGCCCTGCCCGCCCCGCCAACACCCCCCCTCCCCCCCCCCCGGCAGCCCCGCTCCGGGACAGGGCGGACCCGGCAGAGCCTTCGGAGGGGAAACCGCCGCGGCCCCGCGGCCGTTACCTTTCTTCTCTTCCCCCCGGGGGTGACGGGGTCCCTCCGTGCTCCCCCCGCCGGGCCGGGCGGCTCCCGGGGAGGCTCCAGCGGCGGGCGGCGGAGGCCTGGCTGAAGAGAGCGGGGCGGCGGGGTCAGGGGGGGCCGGGGAGGGGGCGGCGAGACCCCGACCCCACTCACCGCGGGCAGCGCCGGGGCCGGGCGGGTCCCGCTCGCTCATGGAACCGGAGGGGACGGCGGGGCGAAGGGCGGCGGGCGGAGCGGAGCGGAGCGGGGCCGGGCTGGGCCCCACCGCCCGCCCAGGGCCCGTCCCCGCGGGCCGGGGAAGGGGAAGGGCCAGCGGGCAGGGCGACGATGTGCCGCCGCGGCGGAGCCAGCCCGGCCCCGGGCAGCCGGGAAAGGCCGGCGGGACGCAGCCCCCCAGCCACGGCCGCTGCGCCGGAGCCTGAGGCTCCTCCCCGCCCCGATCCGTCCCCTAAAGGGCGACGGCCCCGCACCCACTCCAGAAGGATCCCAAACTCTTACCCTCCTTGCAGACCTCGTCTCCTCTCTTGACCGTCCCTGGCACCCAGAGGTTCCCACCGGGTCTCCCAAGCCTCCAAACCAGGGCCTCTTTATCGCAGCCAGAGCTCGGCCCCTTGTCTCCAGGCAGACAGCTTCGCAGTAGCAGCCCCCCTTCCTCGGTGTCCCCTGGCTGCCCCTCCACGATGGGCTGCAGTCCCAGGCGGGATCTCCTCCTCTTCAGCTGGTGGCTATCCATGGGTGCCAGCAACTGTCTACCCAGTGGCACCCAGCCCGAGCCGTCGCAGCCCACGGCTGTCTCGGGGGGTGCAGGGGGGTGCTGGGGGGCCACCGGCTCTGCCCGCCCACCTGGCTGGCCCTTGGGCTTGTTGGAGGCATTGCGGTAGCGCAGCTCCTTGAACGTTGTCACCTCTCTCTGCTTGGAACTGGGAGGTCTGGCTGGCCAGTCCTGCTGGAGCTGGGGCCGGCTTGGCTCCTGGCCCACAGCGCTGGAGAGGAGCTCACTCGGAGGTGGCAGCTCCGTGTCAGGTGAGAATACGATCAGCCAGTCACTCCGGTCAGCCCTGGCCTGAGCAAGAATAGGCCCAGCAGCGTTCCTCTTCCTCTTCTGGGCGAGCTCATGGAAGGAGGTGATAGTCTTCTTGGTCACATCTCGGCAGAGCTCACCCAAGCCAGGCTCTGGCTGCGCAGGCAGGAGCGGCTGCTCTGCTCTGTGCCCACTGAGAACCTGCAGCCGTCGCCGGGGCCGGGGGGGCACGGGCGGGGGGAGGCTGCCAGCCCGGGGTCGTGGCTCTGGAGCTCTGGTCAGACTGGGATCGCACCGTCCTGCCGTAGGCGGTGCTGGAGGCGCAGCATCGGGGTCGGGCAGGGGGTTGCAGTTAGGGTCTAGGTCAGCACAGATGCTGGTGGTCTCCTGCGCTGCCGCACTGGGAGAGGGCTCATCGCACTGGGAGTCAAGCGAGCTGCTGCTGCAGAGGCTGTCTGGGCTCTCTCCAGCCAGGGTGTCTGGTCTCTGGAGCACTGGGGGGTTGAGGTTGGCATCTCTTCCATCACATGTCCTACCCTGGTCAGCCAGCAACCTGCCATCCTGCGTGTCTTCTACAGGACTGATGTTGGGCTGATTTTCAGGGGATTGGGACTCTTCTCTGGAGAACCCCTTGAAGTACACAGAGACTGGGGAATCATCCAAGCTGAAATCCGAACAGCTACTGACAGAGGAGGAGGAGGAAGCCAGATCACAAGGGGGATCACAAGGGGAAGCCACCTTCTCCCCAGCATGCAGGCAGGGGAAATCTTCTTGAGCTGCCTGGTTCTGGAGATCCAGCGTCACTGGCTCCTGAGTATGGGACTCACAACACCGGCATTTTAAGGAGGGATTGTTGGAATTGGCATCCACTTGCTCACAGTTCTCTGGGCAGTCACTGCAGCTGGTCTGGTCTCCTCCCCCCATGGAGCCAGAGGTCTCTTGGAGCTCTGGGTGCCGGGAGAGGTGTAGCCCCAGGGAGATGTGCTGCAGATGGATGTGGTTGAGGTTGCACAGCAGGCTTTTCTTCGGAGCCAGCATGATGCTGCCTCACTGGGAGTGCCAGGGCTCCTCAGAGAGCCCCACAGCTCTTCAGTCCATCCAGCTCCCTGCAAACATCAAATGCCCTTTCAGTCAGTGGGGAAGAAGGCAGCAGCACAAGCCTGGAGAGGAATGGTCAGGGCAAGGGGGATGGCAGTGACCTTGTGGCAGCCACCGAACAGGGAAGGGGCAGCAGCCTGAGACCAGTGTCAGGGCTTGGGGGTTCAGAGGCAGGAATATGCCCAGCAGAGAGGGGCTGCCCCACAGCTCCCCACTGAGCTCAGGCCTATCCAGCCAGTTGCTGAAGCCAGGGAGCCAGCAGCTGATCCCCAGAGCAAGACCTGAGCACGGTCCAAGGAAGCTCTGGCCAGTCCAGGCGGCTGCAGCAGGGCTGAATTCCCTCTGCTGGGTCTCAACCGTCAGGATCGCCTCAGAGATGCCATCAGGGAGAAAACGCCCTTGAAATCTCAGCCGGGGAAGGTCTCGGCCAAGGGACGGTGACACCACTGGCATGCCGAGGCCCAGGGCACGGCCAAAGGCACAGACGAGGAGACGCCCGGCCCTGGCCCGGCCTCAAAACCCGCTGCAGACCTGGCAGCCGCTGCAGCTTCTGCCGCATCGCTCGGCCCTCGCCCTGCCGAGGGGGAAGCGCCGGCCCCGGGCATCTGCGGCGGCCGCGGGCCGGGGCCGGGCAGCTCAGAGCCCGGGCGGCCTCGGGCTGCGACCCGGCCCCGAGCACCCACCGGGGCTGGAGGGACCAGCGACCCCTTCCCTTCCCCTCTCTGCTGCCCCCTCCACCCTTTTACTCCCCCCCCCCTCCCCGTTCCCTCCCTCGGCCCCAGCCCCGCTCACCTCGTCGCGCTGCGGCGGCGACTGCGGCTGGCGGGAGGGAGGAGCCCCGCCCCCGCCCCCTGCCCCGCCCCCTGCCCCGCCCCCGAACAGCGCCGGGAGGGGCCGGCAGCCCCCCCCACACACACACACCCCCCACCCGCCCTTTCTCCAGCCAACACCAGGCACCGACGCACCCGCAATAACTTGTGTTTATTGACCCAAAGGCGGGCAGATCTCCCCCCAGCCCCACCCCGGGGCAGGGATCAGCTCCAGGTAGATGTGGATGGGGAGGCAACCCCCCCACACACACCCCCCCCGAAGCAAAGACCAAGCAGTCCAGCATCACTTCTGCCGCTTGTAAATCTTCTGAGCTAGGCCAAGGAAGATCTCCTTGGGGAGGCGGTTGGCATGCTTTCTGATCAGTTCCTGCAGGCGCTGGTAGCTGCTCTCCTCGTACTCCTGAAAAGCTGCCCTCAGGCCCAGAGCATCATAGAGCTCCTTCACCTTTGCTACCTTCTCGGGCTCCTTACAGCCATAGTTCTCCTGAGAAAATACCAGAATAAGTCAGGCTGAGGTCCAGCTCACAGCAACTGCCAGAGCTGCTCATTCCAAGCGTGTCAGGAATCATTTCTTGTTTTCCCTGCTACCATCTTAGACTACTCACAACAACCAGCCCTACTCCCAGCCAGGCAGCAGCACAGTGCAGCTACGCAGGGTGGCACATGGCTTTTCGGGTGTATGTTATGGCACTACCCACCCTCTAACACCGCGTCCTCAGGGAGGGAGTCCACACCACCTCTCCCCCATCTTCAGGGGGTTTGTCAGCCTGGTGGTGTTACCTCCAGGATCTGCCTCTGGTCTGGCGTGACCCGACGCAGACACTCCACCACCAGCCAGCTGCACTTATTGTCTTGGATATCAGTGCCAACCTTCCCTGTCAGCTCCGGATCCCCAAAGCAGTCCAGGTAATCATCCTGTATGAAGATGGAATTACATGAGCGGCACAACCAGCACCTTAGAAGCACTGAAGGACGGGAAGCCACCTCCTACCTGGATCTGAAAGAATTCACCCATCTCCAGCAAGATTGCTTTGGCATTATCATGCTCCTCCTTATTATCAATACCAGCCTAAGAGGGGGGAAAAAGAAATAAAGCCTTCCCATATCTGGCTTCCACCTTACTTCTCCCATCTCCCCAACCCCTTGCCCTCCTTGACAGCCTCATACCAAGGGTTGGGCCCCTCCTAAGTCTCTTTCCATAAAACTCACCATGTACATGGCAGCAGCCACAGGCAGGTAGAAGGAGTAGAACGCTGTCTTGTACTTGACAATTGCCTTATACCTGTAGCAGAGGAACCCTGCTCAGTGACAAATCCCAGGCCTTCCCCTCCTGTCAGGGCTCTGCAGATCAGGGCCAGCCGGAGAAAAGCAGTATCTCCCTCCAAACCAGCCCCCAAGCTCTGACAGCAGGAGCACAACTTGCCCTGCAAGGCCTGGTAAGTGACAGCAGCATTTCAGCAAGCTGTTGTCTCTCTTACACAGTCTGGAAGGGACTGCAAGCAGAGCCAACTTGCCACACCAGGGCTGGCTTCTCTGTCCCCTTCTGCCTCTTTACCTCTGCTCACTGAAGCGATTCAAATCCACCTGGGAAATGGGAGCAGTGATGAGGTCCAGCATCTGCCCAAGCTCTGTCTGGTAGGCAGTCTGAAGAGGAAAGAAAGGATTATTCATGAAGTCTCCCAGGAAAGTCCCAAGAGCACAGTGAAAACCCCAAACCCAAGCCCCATTTCAGCTCCTCTCCAAGAAAGGGTGCATGTCTGGCAGGATGACCAGGAACTTAAGGAACAGTCCAAGATCCACATGGCACCAAGCATCCAGGAACAGCCCAGAGTCAGGGCGGATCTGCAGGAGGGGGGTGCAGGGGCCAGGCTCACCTGCAGGAAAAGCTCCAGCAGATGCAGGTAGTAGGGGCGCTCCCCGCAGTATTTCTTCAGCAGCCTGTAGACAGACGACTCGAGGAGGAAGGCATCGTTGACAGCATCCAGACCGATCCCCTCCTGCACCAAGAGCAGGGAGGCATCACGAAACACCTCGACCCCAAAGGCCGCCCTGCACCTGCCCAGCAAACAGGGGCCTCCCGAGCGTCCTCACCTTCTTGTACCAGCACAGCTGTCCGCGGCGGGTGAGGGATGCGTCCATGATGTCATCAGCCACCAGAAAAAAGGCTTGGAACTGCGAGAGGCTGGGTTAGGGGGTGTGGGGGGGTCCCCCCCGGGCCCCCGGCCTCCCCCCGGGCCGGCTCTCACCAGCTCAATGCACCAACCGACGGCCAGAGCACACCGGAGGCTCTCCGGGTCCTGCTGCCCCGGGGCCGCCAGCTCTCGGAAAGCGGCCAGCACCGTCAGCCCGCGGTTGCACTTCCCGCCGGGCGCGTTGTACTCCAGCACCTGCGGGCAGAGAGGACCGGGCAGCCGGGAGCGGGCAGCCCCGGGCCCACCGGCCGCCCCGTCGGGCGCTCCCTCACCTCCTTCAACCGAGCCACGGCGTCGCCCACCTCCGGGTGCCCCAGGCCGCCCTCCGTCAGGTCGCGGACGATCTGCGGGAAGAAGCTCAGGAACTCCTCCCGCTCGGCCGCTGCCCCCCGCGCCCCGCTGCCGCTCATGGTGACCGAGCGCGACCGACACCCGCTGCCGGTGCCCGTGTCCCCGACGGCCCGTCGAGGGGCTCCGCCCCGCCCTGGCGCGGAGCTCGCCGGGACGCGTAGTCCGGAGCCGCGGGGGCCGCCGGCGCCGCGCCACCGCTCGACTACAACCCCCAGCGTGCCCCGCGCGGGGGCGGAGCCATCCGCCGGCCTCGTCTGGCGCCCGCCCTCATTGGCCCGCTCCATCGTATGAGGATGAGCCCAAGGAGGCTGAGCCAGTAGGAGCGCGGGGAGGGCGGGATCGATCCAGCCGATTGGTGGAAAAAGAGAATGGAGCGACTGCCTGGGCCGAGCACGGGGGCGCAGCGCAGCCCGGGGAGGGGCGGGGAGCTGGGGGTTACGCGCAGCTGGGGTGTGCTTGGGGGGTGTGGGCAGTTGGGGGGTGTTTGGGGAATCCGAGAAGCTGGGGGATGCTTGGGGGGCGCAGGAAGCTGGGAGGTGATTGGGGGGTGGGGGAAGCTGGGGGTGTTTGGGGGGTGCGGGAAGCTGGGGGTTGTTTGGGGGGTGCGGGAAACTGGGAGGTGATTGGGGGGTGCAGGCAGCTTGGAGGTGCAGGTCGGGGCTACTTAGGGGGTGTGGGCAGCTGGGGGTTGCTTGGGGGGTGCAGGCATCTGAGGGGTGTGGGCACCTGGGGGGTGCAGGGGTGCTGTGCAGTGTAACAGGGGGTGCAGCGCAGGTGGGGGTGCACCACACACCTTTGGGTGCCGGGGGGGGGTTGGTCCTGACTTCCTGCCATCCCGGTGGCTGTCACCCGGCTGGGCCCAGCTCTGCGGTGGCACCTTACTGCGCGGTGCCGTGCGGGACACCGCTGCCGGCCCCGCAGCTCCCTCCCCGGTGCCTGCGCCGCTGATTGGCAATCTCCCATTTATCCGCCGTAATCCTCTAATCTCAGCTAACCCTGGTTTAATCAATCTCTGCCTTGTTGCTGGCTAATCCCCCACCCCCGCCATTGCCGCAGCCAGGAACGTGGGGGTTTGGGGCAGAACCACCCCACACCACGGCCAGGTGCCCTTGCAGAGCTGGGGCCCGGCTGCCCAGCGGCACAGGGCTCTGCCTTGCCCCCGGGATGGGCAGCGGGGCTCTGCCTTGCCCTGGGACACGGTGGGAGCCAGCAGGTCCCTTCACCTCGTCCCCAGCTCCAGCTGTGTTGGTTGCCCAAGCATCCCAGCCCTGCAGATGGTGGGTAAATCATGGCTGGGTATGAGACACACGGGTTGGAATTCTATTTCCAAGGAAATGCTCTTTTTGTTTCTGGCAGCTTCGGCGTGCTCTGCAGAGCAGTTCTCTGGCCAGGCCTGGGCAAAGCAGCCCGGCCCTCCAGCAGGATGCTGGGGCAAGGCACTGTTAGCCTACACACACTCTTAATCAGGCTGGCTTCAGTGTAATCTGAAATAATCAAATTAGAAAGAAACTGTTAATCAGCTCTGATCTCATCATGTGTCACGGAGTCTAATTCTTGCTGCTGGTGGGGCTGCCGCAGCCCCGCAGCCGTGGGGAGAGCCAGCGGCGCAGCGTGGGGCGGCTGCCTGTGCTGGTGGTGCTGCGGGAGGGCCCGGAGGCAGGAGCTGCCGTGGAGGGCTGAACTCAGAGCAAAGCTGCGTCCCCAGCCCTGCATGGGGCTGTGAGCCGCAAACGCCCTGGCTGCTGCGGCTCAGGCACCCCAGCCCATCTCACGCTGCATGACCTTGATTTAATCTAGTTAATGCCTAAAGTCTGCTCTGCAATCAGGCAGGGTATCAAGCCTCCCCCTCCCCCCAGGTTAATAAATGGAAAGGAGATGGGATGGGAAAATAATTAATCAAAGATAAAACATTAATCTCCCCAGGGTCTAAAGCGACGGGGGTGGGCAGGAGGGGACCTGTTGCCTTTGGGCTCCCACCACGCTGCCCAGGGCTGCAAGGCCAGGGAGATGCCCTTCACCAGGCGCTCAAGGATGGCCTGGCTGCTCCTGGCTCCAGGGAGGGCCAGGGTTGGATCTGGCTTTTAAGTAGGAGCACCTTGACATCCCTCCCTGCCCCATCCCGACCCCCCAAGCAGGGTGCTGGGGGTGCTGGCGGGCAGCGCCAAAGGAGGGTCCCCCAGACCAGCTCGGAATCTCTCTTTATTATTTAAATCCATTATGTACAACGACCAAAAATAAAAAAACGCTTTTAAATTCTCTGCGATATGAAAACTACAAGCTCTGTACATCGACTGCTGTGAGTGCAAGAGTGAAGGATCATGGTCTTTGGTGGCTAGACTTGCGCCCACGCACGCCGCAGAGACACGCTCGTGCACAGCCGACACCCCCAGCCCCTCCAGCCGCCCCTTTTGCCTCCCCGCCGGGACGGGGTGCTGGGGCAGCTCATGGCAGGGGTTTGCCACGACAGTGACCGGAGCACAGGGTGGCTCTGGCTCCGGGCACGGGGCTGTGGTGTGGAGAGGGTGCACCGTCGGCACAGCTGGCAGAAGCAGACCTGAGCTCGGTGCTATCCGGGCCGGCTCGTGTGCTCTGCAGGGGACACCTAGGATGACCACTAAAACATCTAAATCACGCAGTGTAAACACAGCCCAGGAATGTCTGACTATGCGGCCCGGCTGCAGACCCCTTCCTGAGGGGCTGCCGGGGAGACACCGACCATGGGGATGGAGCGGGACATGGGGGTGGGCAGGGGAGGGGAGTTGAAGTCTGTGAAAAAAAAGGCAGTGCTGGACATCCCCTCTGACGGACACGCTGATGGGATTCCTGCTGGGCTGCTGTGCCCCACAGGCTGGGCTCCCTGAGCAGCCCTGCGGTCCAGACTGGTCCCGACTTCCCAAAATGTGAGAAGGAGAACTGAAGACCTCACTTGGAGAAGTACCACATGGAACAAGACTCTTGCCCGCTGCACTGGGGGTCCGGCAGGCCCCGCTCGGCAGCTGCCAAGCCCCAGAGCATGACTACAAGCCATGGTTCCTGATTCCAGTAGTGGGAAGCAGCTTGCGCAGCGCGGCAGGATTGGGAGAGGACACTACTCTAACCAGGACTCTTAACACAGTTGGTCCAAAGCGACACTGTAAGCTCAGCTGCTCGGCAGAGCCACAACTCGAACACACATTGCTGACTACGGGCTCTGGAGGGGCAATGTGGGATGGCTGCAGGGACCCTGGGCCGCTGCCCACCCACACAGAGACCCGGGAGGGTTGGGGGGAGGCAGCCCCACGGCCCCTCACGTCACCCAGGCACTGCCTGGGGGGTTGGCAGCTCTTTGTGACACCCTTTTGCTCACTGCGGTGCTGGTGACTGGCATCTCCAGGCAGCCTGGAAATGCCCCCGCAGCGCAGGGCAGGTGGGCAGAGCCAGGTGTGTGTCCCCCCCACCCCGGGGCTGCCCCTTTGCTGGAGCACGGCGAGGGTCCAGGCCACAGCACCCGGGTGTGGGGGCAGAGCCCTGCCCAGTGGCAAATCCCAACCCCGTGGGGACCCAGCACCTCCAAGGCAAGATGCTCCTCCAAGGTGGGGAGACGCACCCGGAGGTTGATCAGCAGGAGACCCATCTGCCTCTGGCTCCATCACTTGCCACTCATCACATCAGGGGGACCTGCCCAGGACCCCCAGGTCCTGGCACCATGTCCCAAGGGACCTGCCAGGGCTTCAGGGAGGGGAGACCTGGCCCCCGCTGGCCCTGGGTACCCACACTCTGCCTGCCTGGGGACACCCCGCTGCAGGCTCCAGCCCCCTCGCTCTGCCCTTGGCAGTGGGCCCTGGGAGGCTCCTTCTCCCTCCTCTCCCAAAAAGCAAAGGTGCTGGGCAGAGCTTTCTGGGGATCATGTCAGGTGTGTGGCAGCCGCTGCTGCGACAGAGGACGAACTGGAGGAGCCACCTGGCCCCAAGGAGAGGCCATGGGGTGCAAGGGCAGAGTGCAGGGGGGCCCAGCCCCCAAGGAGCAGTTGTGGGGAGCAAGGGTCCCCAGGAGGCCAGAGTTTGGGCAAAGGCTCTGACCCGTCCTGTTGCCTCCAAGAGGAGGGCAGGACTCTGGACAGATGGTGATGAAGCAAGGAGGGGAGAGCCCAGGCAGGGTTCCCGCCTCGGGGCAGTCAGCAGAACCCTCTCCTCATCCAGCTGGGCCAGCTCTGGGGCTGCCCCACACCCATCCCTGCCATGCCCCCATGCTCAGAGCAGCCAGTCCACGGCTGCGGGTGCTGCCTCTCACCTTGTCTTCCTTCTGACACTGCCGGGGCTTCGCCAGGCGCTCTGCCTCTCCTGCTGCCTCCGCTGCCGGGGTGCCCAGGTCCCTCCTGCCTGTGCACGGGTGCCGCCGGGGCCTCACATGTTGGATGGGAGTTTGGGCTTCCCCGTTTCCACCTCGGGGCTGAAGGCCACAGAGCCCTTGCGGGAGGGACCTGCTGCCTGCCTGGACGCGGAGACCGGGGATTGCGGGGTGGATGTTCCTGCCACAGAGCGGCTGGGTTGAGCCAGTGATCCCGAAGGTGTCTGCTGCAAGTGTGCTGGCTGGCCTGGGATCCCTGGACATGGCTTGGCGAGGAGTCCGGCTACTGAGGGAGAGGATCTGCGGGCTAGGTTCCCTGCGGATTTCCTACCCTGATGCAAGGAGCTCCCATCAGCTTGCTGGGCCACTTTATTGGGAAGGGAGGGCTGGGAGGCGGAGAGGAGCCGGACGTCCTGGGTGAGCCGCCCCACCGGCAGCCCCTGGATGCTCCTGTGCTTCACCAGCTGCTGGGGCTGCATCAGAAGAGAGATGTGGGAGCCGGTGGCTCGGGACAGGCTGTAGTGGAGCGTTCTCCCTGCCGGCAGTGCCTGCTCTGAGCTGGGGGAAGGAGCCCCAGCCGCCTGCTGCAGCAGCGAGGTGGAGACCGAGGTGCCACGGGATTTGGAGAGCTGGGGCTGGGAGCCGGCCGGGGGCTGCTTAGCTGCCGATGGCAGCTCCCCCTTTTGCACCATACGCGGCAGGGGCTGCGCCCCGTGGCTTGGTCTCTGGGCCCCGCTCTCCAGGGGCGCCTGGGACTGGACCATGGGGGAGGAAGGCGAACCGGCGGCGGGTGTCTGGAGGTGGGACTGCACTCCTGACGGGGAGCTCACGGAGGAGGGCCGGGAGCCTCCCAGGCTGGGCTGGGACCTGCGCACCTGCTTCGTGAGCAGGGTGGCCTCGGGTGAGAGTGGGCTGGAGATGGAGGAGGGCGGCAGGAAGATGTGGGCTTGCAGGCTGTGCTGATGAGTCAAGGCAATGGCCACATTGGTGGTGGCGGCGGCTGTCTGCAGGGGTGCGTGCACCAGCGGCTCCCAGATTACTGGCTTGCCGCTCAGCTCCCGGCCCATAGCCATCTGCTGCAGGTCCTGGATGTTGTGGGCCATGTCCTGGTCGTGCTTCACGATCTGCTGGATCATCTCGTTGTTCATGGGCCCCGCGCTGTGCTCAGCTCGCTTGCGGAGCAAGATGGAGTTCTTCTTTCCTGGGAGGGAGGCAGCACTGTCACCAACCCTGGGAGCATTGGCTCCTGGGGACACCATGGAGGGCAGGGTGGCGGTAGGGAAGGGACAATAAAACCTCACCAGTGTGCCAATGGGAAGCAAGACCCTGGGGAGGGTCCAGGCTGGGGCAGAGGGAGAAGGGACAAAATAGGGGAGTCCTGGCTCCAGAGGTGCCGGGGTCTGGGGTCCTGCTTGTCCTCCGCAGGCGAGGGGGTGTGAGGACAAGCAGCTGGCCAATGCCAGACAGTGAAAATATGGGGGGGGGGGATGACAGCCCCCCTGGGAAGCCTGTCCTACAGCATTGACCGGATCTTGCCTGGAAGGCGAGCAGGATCCTGCAGGCAGGCTCCTTCCCTGTGCTCCCTCACATCCTCATTGCTGGGCACCCACGGTGCAGGGGTGCTGTGATCCACAAGGTCTGTGATGCCATAACCCATATGGGGCTGGTGTGCCGTGGCCCCGGGGAGCCAGGCGCAGAGGCTGCTGTGCTGGGCCCGGGGGCCACTCCTCACCTATGCGGTCCAGCCGGTCCATGGCCACCGTCTCGAAGGCCCTGCGCATCATGGGATACTCCTCCAGCACCTCATTGAAATTATCCACCGACAAGGAGTAGAGACGGCAGTAGGTGTCCGCTCGCACGCTGGCCGTCCGCCTGCCCCGCGTCAGCAGGCAGATTTCTGCAGAGAGATAGGTTTGGGTGTCAGGATGATGCAGCCGTCCATCCCCTTCCCGAAGGCACCCCGGGTACCAGCAGCTGGAGCAGGGATGGGACTGCCCAGCAATCCCACACCCTGCAGAGAAACAGAGCATGCCTCAGGAGGAGGGACAGACCCAGACGGCCATGCCCTTAGCCAGGGACAGCCTCTTCCTCCCTCCCCAGGCCATGGAGACATTCCTGGGCATGGCTGCTGTGATTGCCTGGCCCGTTTCACTCCCAGACCTGTGCTTGTAGCCCATAAGCTGGCTCGGATGCTGTGCTCTAAACCACACTCCTCTCTGGCCAGAGGTGGGGTGGGTGGATGCCCCCTCTGCCCAAGCCAGACGGAATTCAGGGCTCTGACTGCTGGGCCCTCTGATTCAATCTGCTGGACAAGGTACCCCATAACAACAGAGGTGGTGGACTTCTGAGCCCCAGAACCTGGTGTGAGGTGGATGCTAAGCCTTTGGTACTAGGCAAGAGGGTAGAAACATCAGGAATGCCCCAGCTCCTGCGCCCCGGCAGCTCTCCAGGTTCTCTAGCCCAGTCTCACCCCCAAAGTAGGAGCCATCAGACAGCTTTGTCTCCTTGTTGCCCTTGGTGAGGATGCTGACCACCCCGTGCTGGATGAAGTACATCTTTTTGCCCACGGTGCCCTCACGGATGATGAAGTCCCCAGGCTGGAAGACCTCAAAGCGCAGCTTGGTCAGCATGGCTGTCACAAAGTTGGGGTCCGCGTTGGCAAACAGGGGCATGTTGGCTACCAGGTTGCGGCAGTTGAAGTTGATGATCTCCTGTGGGGTGAGAAGCAGGTCAGCAGAGACATCATCAAGCCTGACCCCAGCAAGTCCCCAGCACTGGGGGGCCTGCCCGTACCTCTTTGAGCGGCTCACTGAGCTCCCCCAGAATGTTCTCCTCATCAAACATTTTTCCCTGGTAGCGATGCTCGTAGTACTCGTGGATCCGCTGGCGTGTGTCCCCAGGCAGCTTGTGGAATGACATGTACTGCTCCACTTGCTTGTACTGTGGGGACAAAGCAGAGCCACGCAGGGCTGCGCTGAAACAAGCTGCACTGTGCCAGAGGCTGGCAGCACAGCCGGCCAACGCTTGCCCCCTCCTTGGCAGCAAGAAGCAGCTGCTGCCAGAGCCAGGATCCAGGCACCTCCGCTCCAGGACCCTGTCCCAAAGGCCACCTCCAGGGCAGAGGACAGGAATCCCGTGCACTTAGGATGCGGAGGGTCCCAGGGCAGAGGCCAGGATGAGGCCTCACTATGCTAGGGTGAACCCCAACATCATGAATGGGCTGTCTCTATCCAAACGGGCAGCCTGACCCACACCCCCCAGGTGAAGTGGCAAGGGCAGGGATCAGGGCAGGAATCTGCAGGGCTGCACTGAGCTGGTCCCGGAGCTGGACCCACTCATGCCAGGGCATCTTCCCCCACCACTCAGGCGCTCACTACCCCACCCCACTGACCTTCTCCTGGTACTGGCGCCGAGACGAGTCAAGCGACTGGATGAGGGCGGTGGCGTGACCGATGAACATGGCGTAGCAGGTTGCCCCCACGATCATGCTCAGCATCGTGAGCCAGACGTCGGTCATGCCCTCGGGTGCCTGCTGGCCATAGCCGATGCAGAGCATGTGGCTCATGGCTTTGAACAGGGCATGCGAGTACTGTTTCCCCCAGGAGTCGTTCTGCAGATGGGAGAACAGTGGCACTGGCGGATCCGCTGGAAGGAATTGCTGGGCTGAACCCTCCAGTCCCTCCTCCCCGAGCCAGGGAGTCCAGAGCCCCAGCAAAAAAAAAAGGTTTCTGATGTGTCCAAGCCCAAGGGGCAGGGCTCTGCTCCAGGAGGAGGCATTGGGGACTGTGCGAAGCCCTGAGCCTGCACCAGCCCCTGCTCTGGGGACGGGGCAGAAGCCTCACTGCCCTGTTCCCTCCTGGCAGGGCACAAGGGATTCCCCTGGCTGGTTCCACTCCAGCAGCAGCCAAGATGGGCTGAGATTGGAAGGTGATGCAGAGATTCCCTCTACCCCATCCCGCTGCTGTTGTAGGGCTGAGACCAGCAAGACACTGCTCCACAGCATGTGGATCTAGGCAGCTCCAGCCTCAGAGGATGAGATGTGTAACCAAATCCTCTCCTCCCCCCCAGGAGACGCACAGCCCCTGCCCAGGGCACTCACCACCATGCGGTTGATGGAGACCCAGCAGTCCTCAGGGAAGTCTTGCAGCATGGGCACTAGGAACTGGAGGCAGCCATCCCAGTGACACAGCAGCAGCATCATGCCGATGAGGTTGAAGATCCTCACCACAGCACTGGCCAGGTCGTATGTCATATGGAAGATCTGGGGAAGAGGCAGGACTGGAGCTACAGAGAAATGTTTCCCAGAATGGCCCTCTGAACCCCTGCCCTCCAGCCAGCCGTACCCCACAGCCAGGGATCCCTTGGCCTGAGACCCCCAAGGAGTTCTCACCTCCTCCCACTGGTGGATGTAGCGGATGAGGCGCGAGAGGCGCAGGAGACGCAGCAGGCTGAGGATCTTGGTGAAGCGGACGATGCGCAAGGCCCGAGCTGTCTTGTAGACATCAGAATCCACCTGGGTCTCCAGGTCAACGATGAGGAAGATGTAGTCAACCGGGATGGAGGAGATGAAGTCGACCAGGAACCAGCTCTTCAAGTACTTCATCTTGATGGTGTGAGGATCGAGGATGATCTCTGTGTTGTCCTCCACCACAATGCCTGTCCGGAAGTTCAGCACCAGGTCAGCCAAGAAGAAAGTGTCCGAAAGCACATTGAAAACGATCCAGGGAGGGGTGTTCTCATCCTTGAAGAAGGTGATGCCCACAGGCAGGATGATCAAATTCCCCACCATCAGGAGCAGCATGATGAGGTCCCAGTAAAACCTGCAAGGAGGGAGCGCGGGGGCCAGAGCAGGGCAGGGAGAAGTGGGGAGAGGCAGGACACAGCCGGTTAGAAAGAAAACTCAGGTTCAGAGTTAGGGAGTCCAACACACGGTGGAGAGAGAGGCACACGGGACGCATGCACACATGCCCGCCCACACACACGACTGAGCCCCTGCTGCTTGGCTGGGACACATGCAAGTATGTGTGCGTGGAGAGGAGCAGTTCTGCATCGGCTCCTGAGGCAGAGCAGGGCCAAGGGTCTGGGGGAGCAAATGTCACCCTGCATGTGTAAGAACAGAAGGCTGTATCTCAAGGTGCTCGACTGTCGCTCCTCCCTCTCCCTGTGGCATGGCAGCGCATGGGCATGTTTGCCCCCACCCCAAACTTGATGTCTGCCCTGCAGAAAACTCAGGGAGGATGGGGGCTTTTTTCCCTGGAGCTCCCTGTCATCTGCCGGCTCCCCGCCACCACCCGGACTGGCTTAGCAGGATTTAGAATAAGCTTTGCTGGTTACGCAAACTGAGTGCCGAGCTCCTGAGGCAGCTGAGGGACTCCGGGGGCCGGGAAGGCTGTCGGGATTTTAGCACGAGTGAGCCAGGCAGCAGCCAAGCAAGGATAGACAAGTGCCATCACCACAGAGAAGGTGGGAGGAACACGTCTGATCCCAAAAGGGCTGCTTGCAAGCACTGGGAAGGAGCTACACAGCCCTGGGCCTGCAGGACCCCCCTAATCCACCTCCGTTCTCTGAGAGTGGACAAGCTTAAAGGCTTTGGAGGAAAAGCCAAGAGACACGGGGCAGCAGTTGATTATCATTTGGTTATGCCATGAAATTCAGCGTCCCCCGTTCACATGCAAACATGGCTGGGATGTTTTAATTCTTCACACAAACGCAGGTAATGCCTTTCTTCAGGAGGCTTGCAACAGCTCCTGCGACAGCTTGGTGGACTTCTGGGTTCCCTGCTCAAAGTCTTTACAGGTGCCTGGAAAAGCAAGTCCAGCTCCCACCTTCAGGTTCCTCTGTTAGCCCCAGCCCCTGGTTGTGGGTATAGACCTGAATCTCCAAAGGTGACCTTAGGGCAACTCTTAGTGCCTGGTGGATCCAAACTGGCTTTTGCATGTGACAAGAAGCCTGCAGGTGTTTCGTACCCTGCGTCCTCAGTGGGGCACAGGCGCCGGGCTTTCAGCAGGTAGTGGGGAAGAGGAGGGATAAGTTATGGCACCACATAAGGCTGATTCAGGGAGAGAGCACCAGAGCCTGGCAGGAAAGGGGGCACCACCTCCCCGGGGAGCTCTTCCAGGGCTGAGTAGCCTCACACAAATTAACAACTTCTTGCCCACGACCAAGATGTGCTGGGACAGGCAAGGCGATGCTGGACAAGGCAGAAGGGGCCTGACCTGGCCGAGCAGTTGCCTCCTGCTCCCCAACGCTGTGCCCCAAGAAATGCCACACACTGAGTGGGGAAACTGCCTACCCCCTGAAGCTGCCTGAACCTGTTGGGAGCTCTTGATTCAGATTTAGGCTCAAGCTTTTTAGGGCAAGACCTGTCCTTTACTCTGTGTCAGGCCGAATGTGTGGGGCCTTGATCTCAATGGCCTTTATGTATCCCCATAATATGATAAACACCGGTGTAATCCCACTGGCTGTCTACCTGCCAGCTTGCTTCGTGTCACCGGCTGTGCAAGCTGCTCCTGCCAAGCTCAGGCTCACAAACTTTGGGGTGGCTTCCCTGGGAAAAAGGTTCTAAGGGCTTGCAGCCCTGTGTTGCGCTGGAGCAGCGCAGGGGAGCTGGCATGTGCGAGGGGTCAGGGCCCAGTGGCAAGGGGAGCTGGCTACAGGTGCCAGGGACCTGCGGCAGGCACCAGTCCTGCTCCAGAGTGCTTTGCTAGGCTGAGAAACATCAGCCGTGTCACAGCTTGATGCAGAGGAGATGACTGCCTGGCAGCTTTGTCCCCCGTAGAGAAAGCCCACCCTATATGACTCAACATCCCCGTGACACCCAATTCCTCCCACATCATCCGTCCCCGAGCTCTCCCTGTGATCCCGGTGACACCGTGAGCCAGGCCCAGCTCCTCGCTGGGTGCCCTGCCCTCCTCCAACAGCTCCCTGGGCTGTGGAGATGGAGCCTGTGCTGGGCGGGCACTGCAGGCAGCTCGCGGGGCCCGCGTCCCCGTGGGGATGGTGCGGCTCCTCACCAGATACGGAAATTAGAAACAGCGTCGAGAAAGGGAGGAAAAGCTCTGCAAGGAGGCAGATGGAGAGCCCCTGCCTCCTCCTTTGTACGCCCAGAGCCAGGTCAGCGGAGGTTCCCCGGCTTGGCTGGGCTGCCCCTGGCCCAGCGGGAGCCCCGAGGGCCCGAGGCTGCGGGGCCCCGGGAAGGGGCTGAGGCGGAAGAAAGTTGTCGGTGCTCGCCGGGGCTCCGGGCGCGGGATCACCCGAGGATGGGGAAGAGGCTGGGGCGGCCCCAGGCACCGGGCAGGGCCTGGCTGCGGTGGGAAGCCGCGTCCTCCCGGCTCGGTGCGGAGCCCCGGCGCCCGTCGCTCGCTGTCCCCGACGGGCGATGGCGGCGGGGCCGGGCCGGGCCGGGCGGAGCCGCGCTCAGCACCGCGGACAGCGGCTCCGAGTGGGGCCGGGCCGGGGCGGCGGCACCGGGGCCGGGGCGGGCGCGGGGCCCGGGTCCCACCTGAAGTCGCTGTAGGGGTGGATGATCCAGGCGCCGGCCGACTTCACCCGCTGCCGCTCGATCTCCACGGCCCGGTGGCTGCCGAACATGCGCAGCGAGAACTTGTTCACGGCGGGCTGCAGCATGGCCCCGAGTTGCCGCTGCACGAACGTGCCCGCCGCCGCCGCCGCCTCGCCCTCCGCCACGATCTGCTCCGCCGCCGCCGGCGAGGCCGGGGCCGCGCTTACCGCCCCCGCCGCCTCCCCGTCCAGCACCGGCGGCTTCTCCCGCGGCTCGGGGCTCCGGCCCGGCGCCGCGTCCATGCCGCCGCCGCCGCGCCTCACGTTTCCTTCAAACGCCCTTGCTCGGGCGCCTTGCCCGCCGCCCCGCCGCACATGCCCGGCCCCGGGCGGGCGGGCGCTCGGTCGCCGCCCCCGGCCGCTCGGTCACCGGTCGCCCTCGTTCGTCGGCGTCCGCAGCTCGGCCGGCGCCCGCCTGTTGCGTACACCCCGGCGCGGGGGAGCGGCGGCCGGGCCCCGCCGCCAGTGGGGAGGCGCTGGCGGCACCGGAGCGGCCGCGCACCGAGCAGCGAGGCCCGGGCAGCGGCGGCGGCGGCGGCGGCGGCGGCGGCGGGACCCCGCGGCGGGCGGGGCGGGCGGGGCTCCGGGGGCGACGGCCGGCGCGTGGCCCCGCCCATATCCCCGCCCATCGCGGCCCCGCCCCGTCGCCGCTGCGAGCAGGGCGGGGCCGGCGCCGCGCCGTGTGACGCACCGCGTGCGTCCGTGCGTGCGCGGCGCCGCGGCGAGCTGCGCGCGGCCTGGCGGGGACCCGGATCGGCGGGGCGCGGCGGCGAGCGGCGGAGCCGGAGCAGTTGGAGCGGGGCCCGGGATTCCCGGGGGCCCACGGCCGCCATCACGGATTTCCTGTGGGACAAGCGCACCGGGCTGGCTGCGAGGACGGTGCGGCAGGGCGCGGCGCGGCGGGGCGGGGTGGGGGTAGGCCGCGGCCTCCGTGGCTGGCGGGGGCGGCCCGGGAGCGCGCGGGGCAGGCCCGGCCCGGCGGCGTTCCGCGGGGATGCGGCGGCGGCCCGGGCGTTTCCGGCGGCGGCGCTGGCGGGACCGGCCGGGCCGGATGGCCCGAGGAGGCCGCGGCCGGGCCCTGTGGGACCGGGGCGGGAGTTTTCGCACCCGCCGCCCCTTCCCTCGGTCCCGGTCTCTCCCGGTGGCCGGGCCCCGTCCCCCGTTTCGCGGCCGGGCCCCGGTGCTTCCGCTTTTGGCACTCGGCGCGGCCCCGCGCACGGTGGAGGCCCCGCCCGGCGGCCCCGGAGCGGGGCAGCGAGCGCCGCCGCCATCATCGTCCCCAAACCGGTTCCAGAGCTGCTGCGGAACGCCCCGGTGCGGGCTGCGCCGGCTTGGAGAGGGGGTGCCCGGCCTTGGCGGGCGGCCAGCCTCGCCTTCTCATGCCGCCTTTAATTAGAGGCTGCAAGCGATGCCTCCGTGCTGTGCTCGGCACAGCGAGGCCTGGTCGCGGTGCCGCCGAACTGGGGGGAACCGTGAGCGGCCCCATAGAACCCGGCCTTAATCCGGAGAGGCTTGCTCGGGTGTGATGAGCTTGGTGCCACCAGGTCACGGCATCATCGGGGGCGGTTTTGCCTTTCGGTGGTCCTGACTATAATGTCGGTGTAGGTGTGGGTGCGGGAAGGCAGCCGGCTGTGTGAGGGCATCTCTTTGGGGGAAAAAAAGTTACCGGTGGAAGGTCTCTGGACAAAGGGAGCTGCAGCTTCTTGCCTGTGGAGATGAGGCAGGTTGAGCAGCTTGGTGCTTTGAAACAAAAATACATGCAGGGAGCATCTTAGAGTTCTGAAGGGAGGTTTGGTGATGAGAGCAGGATCCCAAACTAGCACTTTAGGGCTGGGACCCGGTGTGCCATCTTACCAAGGGATTTTTCTCCTTCGCTCTTGACTCTCCCATCCCACCAGCAAGGTAGAGGTGAGCACTCCTCCCCTCTGAGGTCGGGTTTGCAAGGCTTCATGAACACCTCTGCATGTGGAAAGGGTGATTTTGCTCCCTGGATGCTGGAGGGCCCTCCCCACTTGCAGTAGGAAGTGTAGATGTCGCTTGCTTGGCAGTAAACCAGAGACATCTCTCCAGGAGCTGCCCACTTCAGTGTCTCCAGTACTGGTGCGCAAGGACTTTGGGCCAAGCACTGGTGATATCCTGAGCTTCATTTCACCTTTTTTCAGTTTTCCTGGGTGGTGCTTCTCTCCTTCCTGGGGAGCATGTTAGTTTAAAGAGAGAAGGTGGACTCCCTGAAGGTGCAAATGCTGCTTCTGGAGCTGTGGTCAGTAGAGATGGGTGTGAAAAGGGGAAAGTAACCTGGAAAACAGAACCGCAGCAAACACAGCGCGCATGGGTGGTTTCATCCTCTCTTGTTACGGGGTTCTGGGATCTCTCAGAAGTTCATTTCCTCCCTCTCAAATCCTCCCTGCACACTCAGACACGCTACTGATTGCCTCCCACCCTCCTTGCCCTAGCAGCTCCTCAGCCACTGATGCTCTGCACCAGTTTCCCTCCCTTGCAGTTGCCTCACATAGTCATCGCTGTCTGTTGTCCCCGTAGATGCCTCACTCTAGAAGGTACCGCTCGTCAGAGCGCAGCAGCCGGGGCAGCTATCACGAGCGCTACAGAAGTCGCAAACACAAGAGACGGCGGACACGGTCGCGGTCGAGCAGCAGCGAGCGTGACCGTCGGCACCGTCGGGAAGACAGTTACCATGTTCGATCCAGGAGGTGAGTCCGCAAAGATGAGGCGGGACCTCCCTGCGGTGCTGCTTCAGCTTGGCCAGAGGCATCTGTGGTCAGCCCAGCTTCTGAGTGCTCTGAGCTGTAACTTCCAGGGCAGTGTTCATAATCAAATCCCCTTGGCTTGCTTCCCTTCCCTAGCTACGATGACCACTCAGCAGACAGGAGGGCCTATGACCGGCGTTACTGTGACAGCTACCGGAGGAACGATTACAGCCGCGAGCGAGGGGAAGCCTACTATGAACCCGAGTACCGTCATTCCTACGAGTACCGACGTTCCCGGGACCGCGAGGGCAGCTACCGGAGCTGCAAAAGCAGCCGGCGTAAGCACAGGCGGAGGCGGCGCCGCAGCCGGTCCTTTAGTCGCTCCTCATCGGTGAGTATCCTGCTGTGCTGGGCCTCCCCTGTAACCTTTCTCTCCCAGGTGGCGAGCTGGGTAAGTAGAAAACTCACTTTCTAACGCTCTCTCGGACTCGGCTTGAGAAATGCGTAGAAAGCCTTGGATGCAGACAGCAGTCCTGTCCAGCATCCTGATGCGCCTTGGCAGTGGCTGCCCTGTGCCAGCTGGGCACAGGCAGCTCAGACCCTCTCTTAGTGTTGCCTGCTCAGAGGTGGGAGGAGGACAGGCATGCCTTGCGAGGCTGGCGTGTCCCCTGGGGTGGTGCTGCAGTCCTCAGCTCCTTTATCCCTGCAGAGCACTGCTTTTGTTTGGTGGTGCTCATTGAGAGTTGTCTAGGAACCCCAGCCAAGCAGTCTTTTGTGCAAGGTCTGTACAGCAAGTGTTCAGCTGATCCTGGCCTCAGAGAGCTCAGGCTGCCTGCAACAGACGGTGTGGTCCCTGGTTCGGGCCTGTGTTCTGTGGCAGGAAGCCCCTCCTCTGAGGGTTAGGTCCTGCATCAGAGCAGGATCCTTCTGGGTGGGCCCAGCTGACGTTGGGATGTCGTGCGAGGGGTTTTGCAAAGGAGTAGAGCTTGTGGACCGGTCAATTCAGGTGGAGGCAGCAACCATCACAGGCTCTTCCCAGCAGTGTCCCTGGCTTTCTCTTCTTGTCTGTTCTGCTGTTCACCTTCCACTTCTGTTAGACCCCAGACACGTTCTCTGCTCTGTGTGGAGCTCTCAGTGTTGTCTGGTCTGTTCTGGCTGTATGTCCAGGGATGGGATTGTGGGCTGGATTCGGGTCCCAAGTCTGCTGGCCGGTTGCTCCCAGGTGTTGGGGATACCTAGCTGAAGAACTGAAGGCAGGAATTTTCTCTTCTCTGGCATAAACCTCTTATCTGTCTCATCCCAGGCTGTCCCTATTCCCTGTTGGGCCTCTGCTTCTCTCCTGGAAGTTAGTCCTTCCAGGATCAGCTTCTTTGAGGGAGGGTCTAGGAAGAAGTGTCACATCTTCCCCCAGGCAGTCACTCATAAATTCTCTCTGGTTTTGGATGGATCTTTGTACCCAGAGTTGCTTCTGAAATCTCTGAATTCATCTTTTTCTGAGTGTTGGGGCTGGGGGAAGCTCTGTGGGTGGTTGTTGGAATGGGATGGGGAGTGCCTGTGTGGGGCAGCCTGGCCCTTTGCTCATGCAGGACTTCCCAGCACCTGCCTTCTGCTGCCTTTCCTCAGTGGCTGCCGTGGGGCTGAAGTGAGCCTCTCCCCGCGGCCACTGAGCACCCGGCTGCAGAGTTGTGCTTCAGTGTGCTCTCTTGGCATTATCCAGGACCCAAAGGCCAGTGCCGTTCCTCTCTGAGCCCCACTAGGAGCGAGAGCAGCTGGCCCCTTCCACTGCCCCTCCGCTAGCCCTTGTGCTGACAGTCTCTGCTCTCACACTGGTTCGGGTGGGGCTGTTTGTAGGTTCTTTTTTTTCTTTTTTTTTCTTTTTTTTTCTTTTTTTTTTTTTTTTTTGCTACAACGAAAAGCAAACTGTTTTTTTCTTTTCTGAGCTAGTGTGTTGTATCTTGACATGTTCCCTTGCAATATCCCTATCGTTATATATTCCTCTGTGCCGTATGAATTGGCTGGGAATCTCCTCCTGCAACCCCTCCTCAAACAACCATGTGAATTTCCAAACCAACCAATGCGTGACGCTGGCTGCTGCGCTGGTTTGAAAATCTGATTGGTGAATGATGAATTCCCTGTCTGCCTGGGCCAGCAGCGGAGTCGACAGAGCAGCAGAAGGGCCAAGAGTGTGGAGGACGACGACGAGGGGCATCTGATCTATCGCGTCGGCGACTGGCTACAAGAAAGATGTACAGCCAAATCGTAACATAATTTAGCTCTCTAGTTAAGCTCCCATCGCAGTCGCAGATCTGTCTTATCTTTCTGTTTCATTTTATTTTCATTGTTTATTAAAGAGAAACCCTCTCCTTTTCCTTCCCCTTTTGTTAAAGCTACGTTTATATTTTGTATTGTTACTGAAGTGGCAGGGAACTAGGGCAGTTGCCTTGTGCAGCCGGTGTCAGCCTTCCGCTGCTCCGGTCTCTCAAGCTGTGTGCAGGTTAGGTGTTGCAATGCATTCTCCTCTGCCTTGTGTATGCACTGCAATCAGGTCGTGCTCACTCTCTCATCTGCCTTCCTCTCTTTCTCTCCCTCCCAGATGAGATTATTAGCACCTTAGGGGAAGGCACATTCGGTAGAGTGGTGCAGTGCATCGATCACCGGAGGTACGTCTGCTCCTGGGGCAGAGGGGCACGTGTTGGTGATGGGAAAAGAGAGGCCACAGCTGGCGACAGAGCCTTTTGTGTTTAACGTGGAAGCCTGGGGGTGAAAATGTGTCTCTTCATTTCCAGTATTCCTCTGCTGGTCTGGCCACTCACCTTCTTGGGTCACT